ACTTTTATCAGACAATTACAATTAGAGAAGGAGAACAACGTGGGACAGATTTACAAGCATTTGCACCACCACAATCATATTTTCTGGATTATACCAACACTTCCTGCAAAATTTTAATCAATTAAAATTTAATCAATTAAATTGATTAAAAAGTAGGCTACCAACTTTATTTGCCCTTGAGCACGGTAAAATTGAATAAATGAATATCTTCTTCCTGCATTTTTGTAATTTTTCTTCTTTTTATAATATGAAGTATTTATTTATTTTTATTCAAAAAAAAAAACATACAAAAAAATAACACTTGTGGAACAAAGAGCATGTGTATATTGATACCCATAGATATGGTAACTGAATATGAAACAAATCTAATATTTAGAAAATGTAACCCCAAACTAACATCAGTTTAACTCATATTCTCATTGAAGTCAAGATACAATTCTTTTTTCTGGGCATGCAAAACATTTGGGAAATCCAGACACTCATCTGTGAATCATAAAGGCATACAGCAATTTACTGTTTTACCATATGTTAGCTATTCATCAATGCAGTGAACTGTCCTCTCATTCATGCTTGGAAAAATATCATAGTAGTTACACACCTGATGGCTCAAGTATCTTTATTTTTAGATGGCACTACAATAAAGTCTAAAAGTTACAAAGATCAAAAAGTTTTGATGTAGAGACATTGAGCTGTCACTGAAATTTTATTAGATTTCATAATCGCTCATTGCTTTCCATGGAGCCTGGGCATGCACAACTGCAAGCGTTTGAATAATGTGATGCACAGCTGTGGGCTGGCTTCCTTAACCAACTCATGGTGCTTAGTGATCCTGACGATGCTGATGAGCTACTGCAGAACACAAAGAGGTTTTCTACCAGCAGATGTCCCTTTCATTAACGTGTAGGGAACATTATCAAGAAAACAGAGCCAGACGATTCAGAGAGGCATCCAGACAAAAGACAAGTTGCAATGAATATAACTTGAAAGATTTCTATTGGAAACAGGTTAAAGGTTTTTTCTTGTTAAAACATTCAGGCATTGAAAAAGATAACCCAGAAAAGTTGTACAGTCACCATCCTTAGAGGTGCTCTGAGCAAACTGGCCTTCCACTCTGAATAACTCTATCATTTTGTGGCTTTCTTCCATACCATTATTTGGCTCTAATTAACACTTCATTCATGTTTTCCACATTATAAAAATGAGATTTAAAAAAAGTATATATGTTTGCTTACTTTTCTTTTCATCATACATACCCAACTATACTATTGCCCCCCTTGAACAGCAATACAGATACTCGGTAACAGAACTTTATTATTTTTTTTAATCTTCCTTTAGTCCAGGAGGGTGTTGGTGCTAGCATTCTCGTGGATCTTATGCTCAAGCACTTCATTTTGGATATTTCCAACATTTTCTTCATTATCACTGAACATTAGAAGCAATGTTTTTTTTCACGATTTTAAATTTTTTCATGGAAGCAATTAGTCTGAAGAAGGAAAATGAGACCATTATTACACGCAGTTAAGCTCCTTGATTTGCTAAGTTTCAGTTTAGCAACAGTGAGATACCAAGAATCTACGGGAAGCTTCCTGACAACGCGTTCCTCATCAGGAGCTGATGTACTCTAATCCTGAAATTCCAGATGCATATCCTACATAGGAACTTGTCTATGTCCTTTTCTGGACTTTATTCATTCTTCAATAGGATGATGGAGAAGAAATTTATTGAAGTAACTAATAGTTTTCCTCTCAGAACTCCACTGTTATGGGAACCAAGAGCAGCCAAGAAGAAAACCTAAGTTTCCTTACTTTGATTATCTCAGTAAAGCAAATAGTATGTCCCACCAAGAGACACGAATGCATCTGCATGCTGAAACTGTGCTTTTTACATAAAAAATTATTTATTCTCAGAATAGATGTGCAAGTGAAAAAATGATCCAGGTCCAGTCTTCTGCTCCAATGTAAGAGAACAGATGAAGCATGAGAGACTATAGCTACTGATTTGTTCCACTGCTTGCAGAGAAACAGCTCATTTCTTTCCGTATTATGCAAAAGACCAGAAGTGATGGGAGGAAGCAGAGCCATGTTACCGTCTCCCGACTAGTTCAGAGGTGTAACTGATCACTGGACTGGGAAATGTTTGAGGTGATACATACAATATTTCCTAGGCAAGTGAAACACCAGAAGAGAAAGAGCTGTTTGAAGAAATACGCTCTTCTTTCTGGCTAGCCAAGAAAAGGGGTGGAAGTGCTCATAGCTATCAGAATCGATTAAGAATCAAGAAACTGAGAAATAAAGCTAGTCGAGTTAAGAAAAACATTTTATCATCATGCTTCAGCCACTCATTCTTTAGGCAACATTTTTTTGAAACAAAACACATACAGTCAAGTTAAATATGGCAATGTTGCTTAAAAGTGGGGATGCACCCTTTTCCAAATACTCGAAAATTCCAAAGTTCCATTAGCATTTAATGAAATCCAAACCTCTCAGCTTAGAAAATCTCAGCTGACTCTTTCCCTTCCATTCAAATGATTATAAAATGTTAAACTTCTTAATTCTTCAACTGTAAGTTGTTCTGAAAAATGCAGTAACGCTACAGAAAATAACAGCATAAATGAGTAATAAATTATTCAAATATGAAGGCTGCCATTCTATTGCCTACACGGAATAGTAATAGTAAAAATACTAATCTCATAGATGTTAATATTGATTTATTAGATTTCAAATCACTGTCAAAAATATGCATCAAAAATGTAGCACAGAGGATCATTAAAATATTAAAAGAATGAAAATGAGAGAAAACTGAAGATTCATTCAATTCAATCCTATTGAATTTGAACTATTTTACATCTTTATTGAAACTTGTCTAATTAGAATAAATAAAAATAAAATAGCAAAGATTGGTAATTGTAAAAATTTCATTATTAGCAGGAGTTGTAGACCTGTGGGGGAAAAAAACACATTTTGGCAATATGAAATACTATTATATGAATAAAACAGAAAATATGACTTGCAGACACACAAATTCAACAAAGTGTAATAATTTCTACTGCAAGGACTACTGGCAATCTCTATTATGAATATGTGTATTACATATTGCCCGGTGGGAGACAGATAGGCAAAGTCTGTTTACTTATGTATTTGGCATAATGGAAAATAAACAGGTGTTTGTTAGTATATCATTATTCAAGGAACACCACTGCAAAATAGATTTTTCAAAGGAATTGACTCATGAGAAATAATGTAAACAGTGAAGTCTAGATCTCAGCTAGCTCTACAATGGCTATGCAGGGATTTAATAATAGTGGCAATACTGTAAGATGTAAACAGCAGCCTCAAAAATAAATTTGCTAGGATATAATATAGTGAGTTAATAGGAGCAACAAGGAAAACTTTAGATCCTAAACTTTATTTAGAGTATATTACAGAAAATAAAAAACACTGCCCCTCTCCTCCCATAGAAGCTCCCTAACATGAAAAGAATGAAATGATTGGATAGTTTTCTGTAAAATGAATCTCAGATGCCTGGGGTATTTCAATCAAAAAGGAATAACACTAAAAATTAAATATACTAAAGATATATTGTAGGGATGAATCCCCTATTGATCTATGCAGTACATATTTCATCCCTATGCTACTACTGTGATAAAAATAATTTCTGCTTGGGAAATGTGACAATACAAAATATTCTTGGAGCATCCAGAAACATATGGACATTCAATTGATAACTCCAGCTCTGATTTAAACCATTTAATGTAATTTACTATTTACTATGATTTAAAAGTAGATCCCATATTTGTCCTGTAAACACAAACAGAGATGACACTGTTCATAGCCTTTGAAATAAGACAGTTGTATCACTGTAGAGATGGCCGCTTTGGAACTCCTTTGTTCTTATTCCTGGTTCTAGCTAATAAAATAAATTAATTGTTTTGTAAGTCTTTAGTGCCTTAAAAGAGCAGGATTGTATTTTGAATACAATTTTCATAAAGATTACATACCATAATGCTGCTAAATCAGACAGTTACTTACAGAGAACTGCTAAGAACACACAGCAAATACTGATCTTCGACCTAATTCAGCAAACAACAGGGAAGAAGAAACTTTTGTATTGCAACAAGCAAAAGATGTTCTTTTTGACTGTTAATCAGCAATTCTTGCTTCCATGGATAATTTAAAAGGTCACTACCTGAAAAATAGTGATTTCCTCATCTTTGGCTACTTGCACTGTTTCATCTATTAACGAGCACAATTGTTCCTATGTCACATGGCTAGACACCTGTTCATCTGACAAGATTTTGGAATGGGCATCAGTGGTACAACTGATACAACAAAAACATTCTCAGGATTTGGATCTATGTCTGCATCAGAATTTTAGAGAAGACATTGATACTCCAAAATTTTGAACATAAATATTGGCTGATGGCAGCCAGTATTGTCTCACCTTCTCTTCATTATTTTTCTTATGGCACATTATCCAAAATAACCATTGCACAGTCTTCTTCCTTCCCTCCCCCCTCCCACTCAAAAGAAAACATCATATTTATTTTTATTTCTTGACACAGACAAGCACTGGCATATTATGAGACTTTATTAAACCAAAGTTGTGGCCAAGTAAGAAAAAGCAACACAACTTCATCTTCTGCAGAAAATACAGAATGAACAACAGTCCTGGATTAAAAAAAATAAAAAGTAACAATTAAAAAAATAATCACTGTTAATGTAGAACTTTTGAACATTTCTCTAGAATAGTAGAACAGTCCAATATTGGGGCTTTTCTTTCTTCATTTTTTTTTTCCTCCCATAAAATATTCTTTTAGGACAAAGACGCAAGTAAAAACATTGAATGATCCTTTAACATTACTTACTTACAAATGTTCACAAATACCACATTTACCTTAACAAGAACTAGTCGGAAAATGTACAGTATAATGGGGCTTAATTCATAATAATGTCCTTTGTCACAAAACAGGAAAAAAATAACAGCCGTTAACACTAGCTTACTTGTGGATGTGTATACTAGTGAACTGGGGGCACTGTACACGGGAGATCCCTCCTGGTTTGCCTGGCACAGCAGCACCCTGCCTACAAGAGAGAGAGAGAAAGTGGTATCTGGTTTTGGAACACTCAAACTAAACCTCAGTTTTATCTCAAAACAGAAATAAAGCCATAACTGAAGCAGTGCAGTGAAGCAGAGGCCCTTAATGTCCTTTAATTTCACCAAACAGAAAGAGCCCCAGTAAGCATGTAAAATTTTACATTGGAAAAAGCAAAACACAGACATCCCCCCCCAAATCCAAATGCCCTCTTTATCACATAGGGAAACTGGCACAGGCTGTGTTTGTTAGCAGCACGCCCAGGTACCTCACCTTGCTGCAGCTGCTCTCTCCCTCTCTGCCCTGCAACTCCAAAGCCACAGGAGCCCTGCTGTGAGCTTCTGCAAAGCTCCCCCACCAACCCCTGCTTCTCATCCCCAAACTCTGGCTGAGATGAGAGGCTATTGAGCAAACAGATAAATCAGACTGCAAAGCTCATATGTACAGACCAAGCATGATCTCAGTTATATTACTTAAACTAGCACTGGTGTGAGAGAAACCAAAATATGACTGTGCATGTAAAGATTTCAGTGTTCTTTGCATGAATGAGAAATACTTAAACATCTTCTGTGTTCCACTATACAGGTGGATTGAGGATTAAGAACAAAACAGAAGAAAGAAAACCATCAAAAAACGAAGAAAAAAAAGTAAAAATAATAAACAAATCAATTTCAAACAGCTCTTCTTTGATGCATTTCCATTTTGAAGAAATCAACAAAGTTTAGAATTGTTTTGCGTTTGTTTTAATAAATTTAAAACAAATACCTTGCTATGTCAGCATCTTTCTCTGTGGTTATACCCTAGCATTCTTAGATGAATAAAGATTGTTTAATGTAATTCTCTATGGTAGGAAAAAAACTCTCCACCTGCACACCTCCAGGAGGAGCAGGCTGTGATGCATCTGTTTTTTGCAGATACGTTTATATGAACATACACTGATGTACTTTAAGCTGCCAGAATGCGTGAAACACACAGTTCCAAATATATTAAATTTACCTGAAAATTTCAGAGACAATTAAGAGAAGTCATGCGTTGACTTGCAGGCAAACTAACTCAGTAAATCAGAAGTGGCTGATCCAACAATAGCAACCCTCAAACTACATGCAGTTACCAAACCTGATTTATTTCAAAAACAAGTTTGCAAATACTTTTCTATCATTAACTTTTTTTTTTTTTTTTTTTTTTTAAACTGTCACTTGCAGCTATTAAATGAGCTGGAAAATACGCAGAATACTGAAAAGAAATAAAATTCTGGTAATTGCAACAACATAGCTAAGTGCGAGAGCACTGGAAATCTCATGAAACTTTGTGCTTTCAAATTCTCAGACCATAGTACAAACTTCATTACTGGGCTTTGGAGATACTTGCTTTTTTTTTTTTTTTTTATTCTGCTATTTTTTTTCAGCCATTCAGTACTAGTCTTAAATGCAAAACAAGGCCTTCTGTTTGTTCTGTCTTATGTGTGGAAGCCGCGAAATTAAGGAACGTACACCTCTAGAGATCAGAGATTCCAATAGCAATCCCAATTTTCAGACTGGCAGATGACCAACAGTATGAAACACAGGAATATGGATGTATTTAACACCATATAGATGCTTCCACAGAGGCCTGAAAATATGAACTGAAGGTATAAATGAGTTCATCCAGCTGAGTGAAATGAAAAAAAAGGGAAGGAACCATCAAAAACAGTAATTTTCATGTTTTAAAAGTAATTTAAGTATCATGACTTCAAGTATACTTAGCAAGTACAGAATGCTAATGGTTTTCAAAAATTGAGGATTATATTTCATGTATCTTATCTGACAAATTAAAACTTTGCTTTTTCTACAGTGTGCAATTAGAGATGTTATTATTCTTTGCAGTTAACATTCTTATTAAAATTTCTCTGTTGCGATCACATGAGAGTCCAAATTTCCTTTCTCTGGGTTCATTTATAATGAAATGCTTTAAAATGGGTGCTTTTTTCATCCATGCTACCAGATTTTGTAATTTTATTTGGACATTCTCCATTTGAATTTGTACATAAAATTATCAGGTAAGTCACCATTATTAGATATTTTGCAAAAAAAAAAAATTGAAACTTTTAATCTAATTTTGTGAGAAAAATTGACTTCCGCTTCTCATTTTTTGTATTAAAAATACTTAAAATTTTATTAGTAGAACAGGGTGAAGATGGAACTATTTTCAATAAAACACTTCTGTGAAAACCTCAGAACATGAAAACAATCAGTGAGTTCCCTGATGAAAAAAAAAAAAAATGTTTTCTTTTTCCTCTAGAGTACTGAAAATTCTACCGTGATAGAATGAAGATTTTTTTTAAGAAAGAGGATTTGAACATAAAGTTATTAATATTTCTTTCCAAACTATAATTTAATAATATTGTGGAGCTGATGAACTTAAAAAAAAAAATTACAGTCATGCAAGAGTTCATTCGTAATTCTGCAGTCCCTTCTGTAGCAGCATACTCCAAGCTGATACTTTCTCATTAAGAAGCATCTGAACTGCTTTTTCACTTCTTTCTATTATGAGCATTTACATATTTGGTCACATGTGACTAGCGGTATGGGATTTTGGAAATCATCAGCTGAAAGCCTCTCCTGACTCTGTCAAAAGGCTCAGAAAAAAAAAAAAAAAAAAAGCATACATATTTGAAGAGTGTATTCACCAGAGGCATACCGTGGCTCAGAGGAGAGCTTTGGACAGTCCTGTGGCAGAAAGGAAGCTGGGGCAGCCTAGCTGCAAGGTGTTATGGTAGGAGAGCAGCCTGTAGTGGCTGAGCCATGGGCTGTCCTGCACACAGCAGCAGGCAGCCGGGCTGGAGCAGGGCACGTTGGCAGCACATGATAAAACTGCAAATAACCCCCCAGGACAGGTGCATCACTCATCCTTGGCTTAATGGCAGGCAGCAAGCACAAAAATGTACTTCCCAAGCTCACTCTTCAATGTTTTCTCATACAGCTCAACGTTAAGAACAGACAGTTTGATTAGGTCCTTTGGTTTAAGAATTATGGTTATTTTGAGGAAATAATTACTCTCAAAATATTCAAGGCAATGAGGAAAATTATTTGAAATTATTAATATTTTCAAGACCCTAAAAATTCAGTTCCAAATCATTCGAAGATATGGAACTAAAAGTATTTTTCTCATTTTTTCATAGTTTCAAAAGTAAGTTTTTTTGTGTAGTTCCTATTCTCGTGACTTACACAAATTTATCTGTAGAGCATAAGCAGAAATGTAAATATAATAACCCACAGACTACTTCCTCATACGAGGACTATTGCAAAGTTCATGGTATTTTGTGAACACTCAGGTAGCTCAGGATTAATCAGACTGACCAGGAATCCATCAACAATGGAAGGACTTCTCAGAAATTTATAAGGGATCAGTTCTGCAAAAAAATAGTTTCTTGGTCTGACTGGAACCACTTTGTAACCAGCAGTACAGACAATTTAAAAGTAAAGATCTGGAATAAGCTTATAAGAGTTTGCACAATTGGCTGGAATCTGGCATCCTTTGAGGAAGTATAAATTGGAACAACATTTTTAGAAGAAAAATTCAAATCATTTTTTTTAAAAAATACGGTGCTGAAGCAAACAAAATCGATAACGTAGCAAGACCTTGACTGTGGGAATAGCTGTCTTTTGTCACATAAAGAAGATGGAACTTTCAGAAACCTTCACTAACAATTGTATAAAGTTCATAAACAGTTACCAAGAACCCAAGGTCACAGTACATCAGCTCCCACTACCTTTATTTAGTACATCCGCTACCAGGCAAAAAGTTTCCTGTTTACAGTGCTGTTATTTACTCTACAAGAATCTTTAGAGAGTTACAAAAAAGAAGAGGACAGAATAGTACTCCATGACCATCCAGGGAAAAAACATGACATAAGTGCAAGAACACAAGCGTTTTCAGTGGCAGAAATTAAGTCGATATTCAGGGCTGGTCTCCACTGAGTATTAGTGCACAGGAAAGTAAAATGAGAACTTACAATACAAAAACTAAGGTTACTGCATACAAGGAGATTTTGTGAAGATTACACCACTCTTATCTGTTGCACACTCAGCACCCTTGATAAAGCAGCTCTTCATTATAAACATCTATTCTACTCTTACCAATAGGACTGTCTTCCTGCTTTTGGCAACCAAGCACCAGGTTGGTTGCTAAAATGTAAAAAAGAATATTTGTATAATATTTTATCTGAGTTATCATAGATTGTTAATTTATAGCTCTAATATAAAAGCTGCATTGCTTTTTAAATTCAGCAATTTCTATTTCATTTTCCCTTTCTTCCAGTACAGCTGGGTGGTTTATAGATCAATTTAGTCCCTGTGCTAGTTCTCAGTCATTCTGGTCCCTGTTTTCCTTCTACCTTCTGCAATAAGTGGTTATTCCTATACTCTCAACAATATCTATTATACCTCTACTTTTCATTTCTATGTACAACATCTGAAGAAACTATGAGGCTGTATCTCTCACAAACATGTCAGCATATTTGTTAGTTATCAGAGACCTCATAAACAAACCATGAAGCACCTGATTTGCTGTTTTAAAAGTATAATTAGGCCTTTCCAGCCACAAATAGAATTACTTTTGTGCTGCAAAGGAACACTGATCTTTAATGAGTTATTTCAAATACACCACAGAAATGGATAAAGAAGACCTAATTAAAAAGGCCACTGTTATACAATAATACTGAATGTTAGCATCCATTATCCCATCTGACAAAGGAGTTTGAAGAGCTTCATATACACTAGTTGGTAAGTGTTAGCTTGGCCCTTCATTATCAACAAACTCCATGGCATTAGTACACTTTTGAGAATGTTTACAAAAAAGTGCTTCTTGAATGTCATTGGTTACTAGTGAACTTTTTGTAAACAGAATACTCCTCCTTCAGATTTCAACACGACCATTCCTGGATGCCTGTATTGATTATTTAAATACTTCCATTTGCAGAAATTAACTAGGAACATTCAAGAATACTTCCTA